ATTATGACTACGATGCAGATTTAAAACCCAAGGCATAATGAGTGCCGTTGACCAGTTCATCCAAACAGTTCAGAGAAGAGAACATCCATATAGATCCTTCTTGTGTTGCAGAATACAAAGGAGCAGAAAATTTTGCCTCAGTAACTGCCAGGTCATTCTAATTAAAGTACCTGTACATTGTAATATAATTCCTCCATTAAGGTAATAACCGATCAGGTGGTCCAGAGTCTGTGTCATTCAGTCAAGAAAGTCACTCCCTTAACCTAGACTGTGCTGGAAATTCATTGACAAATTTTGTTCTTCTCCATTTGTCTTCAGAATTCATGCAGACCACTTGACTTCGTTAGCATTTTCTTTTGTAGGCATATAGTAATGTATTTGGTTAAGCTTCGGCTTCCATTTGCATCAATCCTGTTGTAATTATTGCCTCCTGAGGCATCGATTTGCTTCCCTTGCATGAGTTTCCAAAACCCTACTTTCTACTTTGTAAGGAGAGTATCCATTTTCTTTAAAGCAGTGGTTTTCAAACTTGCCTGCACATCAGAATTATTTGGGGAGAAGGATAAAAATACAGATTACTGAGCTTCACCTGGGATTCTGTAAATTTGGGTTGCATTTGAGATTACTTTGAACAATTTACCGATGATTTTTGCTTCTCCTGCACTTCAGTTTTAGGAAGGACTGTTTCAAGGCAGCTTTTCAAACTTTAATGACCGTGTAAATCACCTGAAGATTGTGAGAAACTGCAGATCCTAATTTAGCAGCCCTGGGTTCAGGCCTGAGATTCTGAAGTTCTCTCAAACGTGATAATATCAATCCCTTGTTGAGCAGAAAGGTTGTTGTTTTTTTTGGTTTTTTTTCCCAATATCTTCATGGCATTCAATGAGTAGCAGAGTTTGAAGGTAACTTCTGGAATTTCATCGAATGTGTATGAATTTTTACTCATCTGGATCTTAGGGGAAATAACCCATCCAGTTATAGGGAGGGAGGACCTTTAATAACGAAGCCAAATGTGTAGGTTGTCTCCCTCTCCCTAGTGTGCAGAGGTATCCCTTGCACACACTCAAAACTTCTTAGACCAAAAGCATTATAGCTCTAGTTTGCCTTAAAGGAAGTTGTATTGTCTATAGAGCATGTGGGTCATTTTCTGCCAAAAAAAATATTCAGATGTTTTCACTCAAGCTTTGTTCATTGTATCTGGTGGAATTCCGGTTCTCAGGGAGTAGACACCTAGCTGTGCTTCTAATGTGAAGTGTCTACTAGCCCCGTGGTCTCTATTTTGGATTTGAACTTACTTCAGCCCCCCACCTGATGCCTTTCCATTTAGTCATATTGTGATTCAACATTTTTGTTTCCACATTTCTTATTTCCTATGTTATTATTCCTTAGTTCCCATCTGTAAGATCATAAAGTCCTTTGACCCAAACACAGTTGATATTTCACACATATGTTAAAAACTGAGCTGTGAGACCAGACATGGTGACTCACACCTGAAATCTCAGCACTTTGGGAGACCAAGACAGAAGGATCAGTTCAAGCCAGGAGTTTGAGATCAGCCTGGGCAACAAAGTGGGACCATGTCTCTAAAAAAGAGAATTAGCTGGGCACAGGGGAGTAGTCCCTGTTACTCTGGGGGCTGAGGCAGGAAGATCACTTGAGCCCGGGAATTCCAGGCTGCAGTGAGCTCCGATAGTGTCACTGCATTCCAGCCTGGGTGCCGAGTGAGACCCTGTCTCCAAAAAAAAAAAAAAAAAAAAAAGAAAAAATCCAAGGGTATAATGAGGGAACTACCAGGAAAATGCTCTTATTTTCTGCTTTTAGAAACCAAAATAATGTTTCATTGTGGGCTGCTACCATTATATGCAGGAAGTTTTAGAATGAAAAACATTCTGAACTGATCCTTGCTAACTTTATTTCAGAAAGTGGTAAAATAGCTGTGGAGTATAGACCCAGTGAAGAGATTGTAGATGTCAGATGGGAAGAAGAACTACACAGTTTAATTGAAGTATGTGGAGATAAAAACTCAAAGGTGACAGGGCCGGGCGCAGTGGCTCAAATGGAATGCCAGTGCTTTGGGAGGCCAAGGCGGGCGGATCACCTGAGGTTGGGAGCTCAAGACCAGCCTGACCAACATGGGGAAACGGTGGTGCATGCATCCCGCTACTTGGGAGGCTGAGGCAGGAGAATCGGTTGAATCTGGGAGGTGGAGGTTGTGGTGAGCCAAGATCGCTCCATTGCACTCCAGCCTGGGAAAAAAGAGCGAAACTCCCATCTCAGAAAAACAAAAAAAACCTCAAGGGTCAGATAACATATGCAATATAACCATAATTCAAAATAAGCAGCAGAATTTAGAGGATAATTTGCTTTGTTCTCAGGAAAATGTGAAACTCCGAAACTGCTTTTTGAGTGCAGGGTATTTCTGGGGCTTTTCCTAAAGTCTTGACCCTTGGCTCTGACCCCTTATTTGGAGTTTGGAGACAGAACTGAGGACTGTATTACTACAGCTGTGGACACAGGAGAGGGGTTAGTCTCCCCCGGCCCCAGGAGTAAGGGAAGCTGGGCCGCTTGAACACAGGCCTTTTTAGAACTCCCTTCAAACAGGATCCCAGAGATGTGGGGAGAATGTAAGTGGCCTTAAGACAGATGGTGCTACAGCTTTCGAAAACTATAATGCCTTTCAAATATGGCTTATTACTTGGATCTCAATATCTTCCAAATAGTCTCAATACTTATTACTTGGATCTCAATATCTTCCAAAATAGTCCTTGAGTGGACTATTTTGCTGAAGATCTTTCTGTCAATCATTTACAATCATGTGCTGCAAAATGAAGTTTTGGTCAATAGTAGACCACATATATGATGGTGGTTCCATAGGAGTATAATGGAGCTATCCCTATACAGGCATACCATTTTTATCTTTTTGTTGTTGTTGTTGTTGTTGTTATTGAGATGGAGTCTCACTCTGTTGCCCAGGCTGGAGTGCGATGGTGTGATCTCAGCTCACTGTAACTTCTACCTCCTGGGTTCAAGTGATTCTCCTACCTGGCCTCCCGAGTAGCGGGATGCATTATAGGCATGCGCCACCATACTCAGCTAATTTTTATATTTTTAGTAGAGACTGGTTTTTGCCATGTTGGCCAGGCTGGTCTCGAACTCCTGACCTCAGGTGATCCACACACCTCCGCATCCCAAAGTGCTGGGATTACAGGCATGAGCCACTGTGCCTGGGCCCCATTTTTATCTTTTATACAGTATTTTAACTATACCTTTTCCATGTTTACATACACAAATACCTGCCATTCTGTGACAGTTGCCTTTAATATTCAGTACAGTAACATATAGTACAGGTTTGTAGCCTAGGAGTCATAGACCATACCATATAGTCTAGGTGTGCTGTAGGCTATACCACCTAGGTTTGTGTAAGTATACGCTATGATGTTAGCACAATGGTGAAATCACCTAATGACACACTTCTCAAGCTCCTCACATGGCAAGCAACGCATGACTGCATATGAAAGCTCTTAAATAGGGATTAAGTTTCTAAATTAATCTCAAAAGAAAATAGTCATTATTTACTATTTATGGAATTTTTTTAAAAAAAGGAGCAAAAGTTTCATTTCAGTGGGAACTTATTTTGGAGCTAGAGTATTTTGTTTAACTTTCACCCCAAAGTTGCAATGTGTTTTGAAGTTCTTCCCTGTAAAATAATTATTTTAACTCAATTTAAATAAAACCCATCCAGTAAACTTCAAGCTTTAAGAAGTCTAGGTTCCTGTGAAATGTGAGAGGAAGTCAGCACTGATTTCAGAAATCTGATTATAACAATAGATCCATTCCTAAATGAGGTGAATCTTGGAATCCCTTCAGTTTTATTTTATTTTATTTTATTGAGACGGAGTTTCTCTCTTATTGCCCAGGCTGAAGTGCAATGTTGCAATCTAGGCTCACTGCAACCTCTGCCTCCCAGGTTCAAGTGATTCTCCTGCTTCAGCCTCCCGAGTAGCTGGGATTACAGGCATGCACCACCACGCCCGGCTATTTAAGTAGAGATGGGATTTCAGCATGTTGATCAGGCTGGTCTGGAACTTCTGACCTCAGTGATCTGCCCACCTCGGCCTCCCAAAGTTCTGGCATTATGGGTGTGAGCCACTGTGCACAGCCCCCCCTTCAATTTTAAAACCATCATTATGCACCCTGTGCCTCTGCTAGGCACTGGAATAAGATGAAGCACCTTCTTGGAGTTTACATGCTGATAATTGTGCCAGACAGTAATAGGTAAGAATGGCTGTGGGGGAAGTCAGCTGTGTTCTAATTACAGTCGCATTTCAGGAAATTATTTAACATGTTGACTTTAACAACCTAAGCCTCTTCTCCATGTGTGCACACAGGGTAGATCTCTGAAGGGTGGCGCTGTAACTTCTAGGGTAATGGCTGTGTTGAGTCAAGGCAGGATGACAGTTCAGCCTCCTCCCTGCTAGTGCAAAGGGCTCTTCACTCGGATTAAAGCCTTCTCTCCCAGACTGAATTGCCCACCCCCAACACCCCTCCTACAGAAAATGTGGAGTCCTCGCTTATTCCCTGGCAGCCCCTACCTAGTAGGGTGGTGAATTCATTATCAAACATGCAACAGTTTAGCGAAAACAGCAACATTTTGGAATAAATGACTGTAATGTGTGTCTTGCCTGCCACCCGAACTGGCGCCCATTTTGCAGCTCAGTTGCTCTCCCTGAAAGGAAGAGTATGCTTGGATTTCGCCTTGGAGGAGGAAGAGTTCAGGCTGCCACAACTGGACTAGCACTTATGAAGATCCCAAGGCGAGGTCCCGTGACCCCACCCCACCACACCACAGCAGGCTGCTGGAGTCCTGGGACCACCTGGGTCTGTGGCCCAAATCCTTCCTCCCTAAGGGGAGGGAAAGGGGTGTTCCAGCTGGGCGGGGTGGGAAGGGGTGTTTGGGCGGGATTGTGACATAAGATTGCCCTGGTGACATGGAGCAGATCTGGACCCAAGCCTAATAAAGGTGGCATAAATAAAGGTGTCATAAAGACAGGGCGGGGCGCATGCTTATAAGGGGCACGAGCATCTTAGGGTTGCCAGAATGACTCCCGCTCAGTGCGTAGCACTCGCGTGTGTCATGTCCCAGCTGCGTTTCTGGGGCCCATGGCCCCTCCTCACGTGGCAACTATTGTGTCTACTAGTCAAGGAGACTCAGCCTCTGGAGTGGGTCAAGGACCCACTCCAGCTGACCTCTAACCCCCTGGGGCCGCCTGAGCCCCGGTCTTCCCGCTCCTCCCATCTGTCATGGGAATCTCCCCATGCGCCCACTCCCCCGGCAGACCTGGGGGACTTTGATTACCTGGGGCCCTCTGCTTCCTCGCAGATGTCAGCCCCACCCCGGGAATCGACTGAAAATTTGGTTCCATTCCTGGACACAGATTCAGCTG